TTTTTAAAGTGTTTCTTTAAGAGAGTTTTAATAGAACAAATATATTACTCATTTTTAAGATCAAAAATAGATGAACAAGAAATGTATAGTGTGCACGCACCATTACAGAATGACATTTTCCCATGGCTTAATAGTCAAATGCTTTTCAAATGCTTTTTAAAGTGTTTGTTTAAGAGAGTTTTAATACAAAAAAATATATTAAACATTCTTAAAATCAAAAGTAGATGAACAAGAAATGCATAGTGTGTACGCACCATTACAGAATGACAGTTTTCCATGTCATAAAGCTGAAAAGAAGGGAGCTGCAAAAAGTAGTATTATACAATCAAAAGTAAATGAACAAGAAATACATAGTGTGTACGCAGCATTACAGAATGACATTTTCCCATAGTTTTTAAAGTGTTTCTTGTGTCTCAAAAGTAGATGAACAAGAAATACATAGTGTGTACGCACCATTACAGAATGACATTTTCCCATGGCTTAATAGTCAAATGCTTCTTAAATGCTTTTTAAAGTGTTTGTTTAAGAGAGTTTTAATACAAAAAAATATATTACTCATTCTTAAGATCAAAAGTAGATGAACAATAAATGCATAGTGTGTACGCAGCATTACAGAATGACAGTTTTCCATGTCATAAAGCTGAAAAGAAGGGAGCTGCAAAAAGTAGTATTATACAATCAAAAGTAGATGAACAAGAAATACATAGTGTGTACGCACCATTACAGAATGACATTTTCCCAATAGTCAAATGCTTTTTAAAGTGTTTCTTTAAGAGAGTTTTTATACAAAAAAAATATATTACACATTCTTGAGATCAAAAGTAGATGAACAAGAAATGCATTGTGTGTACGCAGCATTACAGAATGACATTTTCCCATGGCTTAATAGTCAAATGCTTTTTAAAGTGTTTCTTTAAGAGAGTTTTAATACAAAAAAATATATTAAACATTCTTAAAATCAAAAGTAGATGAACAAGAAATGCATAGTGTGTACGCAGCATTACAGAATGACAGTTTTCCATGTCTTAAAACTTAAAAATTAGACTGTTTTTACTTACAATTATTAATGTGCATTTATCAAAAAGTCTTTTGAACTTTAATACCAAAAAAATATCACACATTTATATAATCAAAAGTAAATGAACAGGATGTGTTAGGAAAGGGAATTGATTAAAATGTGTAATGTAAAATCACAAGTTTACCACAAAACATATGAAAATTAATTAATTTATTTAAAAAAAATAGGAGAAAACTAGTTTTTATATGAGTAATAGTAGCGCCATCTATATTTAATTTACAGAACTTGTTTTTGAATATAACTTATTGATATATGATTAAAAATACATGAAAATATACATTTATGAATATTTATTTAGAAGATGGAAGTGTGTTCATTGTTTAGCAACAAAATAAAAAGAAACTATGATTTATAATGTTTATAATTAGGAAGTTTTGTTGTATCTATTAGTGGTACTTGTATAAGCTCGTATCGAAACTTCTGGAAGCCAAATGTGTATCAACCCAATCCCCATAAAGTGCGACGTTAGTGTACACACCTGGTGTGTTGTTTGCACCGCATCCGATGCCCCACGAAACGATTCCGACTTGCTGGAAACGTCCCGGTTGGCCGGGAATGGGACAGACAAGAGGACTGCCCCCATCACCGGTGCACGCATCCTGGTTGTGTTCGCCACCCGCGCATATGAAACTCCTGTGAAGATGATAGAGCTTCCCCAATCTCGTGCTGCGTAAAGATCTCAAACACACATCGCGCGGCACTATCGGCAGTTCGACCTTCTTCAGGATTGATGAATGTTTTCCCATCTGGAAAGCGTCGGTGCCCCAGCCGCTCGCGATGCACCTGACATCGTTGGTGGTGAGAGGTGGCGCAGCGGGTGGCGGTAAACAGATAAAACCCACGTTCTCGGTGATCTCGACGGGATGATCGAGGATTAACAAAGCTATATCGTTTCTTAAGGAGCTCCGACGATAATGCTCGTGGATCACGATCTCACTCACCGATCTATCTTGGTGCGGCAACAGCTCATCCCTGCTCTTCATGTTCCACTCACCAACGCGTATTGTCCACTGTTGTCCATCTGTTACGGAATCAACACAATGCGCCGCCGTTATTACGGCTCGATGATGGATTAGAGAACCGCCGCATTTGTACACGATCCTTTCGGTGTCCTTCTTCTCGAAAAGGACTGTCGACCAGGGCAGCTCTCCAAAGTACGGAACGTTCCCGCTCCCCGTGATCCTGTATCCCATTGCGCCCTTCTGCAGACCGCATTTTCTTGTCTTCAGAGATTCGGGCTTCTCGCAGCAAACTTCATAGTGGTTCGTGCAAGTGCCTTGATCAAATCTGAAACGCATTCAGTTACAACATTTTACAAATTCAGTTTGTTCATACCTTATGTCCACTAGTCCGTTCCGATGGAAAGCCGAGCACAACTGTTGAGGCATACACACACATGACGAAGAATTATTACCAGAAGACTGCACCTTCGGAAGCGACAAAACTAATATCGTTAAAAACCACATGTTTACCTACAATCAACAACAAAAAATACCCAAAACTTTTTCAATTTTAATACAAATATTCTTATTTATAAATCTATCAAAATACAAGCATTTTTTTTTTAATTTACAATAAATTTTGCAAACCAACAACTTTTATTCTTTATTTCATATTCCCTTTAGCCTACTTGATTAATTATTTAAAAAAAATATAATTATCTTTTACAAAAGTTTTCTATTAGAAATATTTGGAAAAAACATTACTTTTTACTCAAATCTAAGTTAATAATTGTTAAATCAATCTTAGATAGAAGTTTTTTTATAAGAAATAATTGGAATAGCATAAAAGTCAAAGCGTTTTTCTGATTGTGAAAGTGAAATATTTTTATTTGATTATATAAGTAAAAAAAATCCTTAAATTTAGAATAAATTTTGCAAAATATTTCATAAAACAACTTTTATTCCTTATTTCATATACCCTTTAGCCTACTTGATTAATTATTTTCTACAAAAGTTTTCTATTAGAAATATTTGGAAAAAACATTACTTTTTACTCAAATCTAAGTTAATAATTGTTAAATCAATCTTAGATAGAAGTTTTTTTATAAGTAATAATTAGAAAACCATAAAATTCAAAGCCTTTTTCTGACTGTGAAAGTGAAATATTTCTATTTAATTATATAAGTAAAAAAAAATCCTTAAATTTAGAATAAATTTTGCAAAATATTTCATAAAACAACAACTTTTATTCCTTATCTCATATACCCTTTAGCATACTTGATTAATTATTTAAAAAAAAAATAATTATTTCCTACAAAAGTTTTCTATTAGAAATATTTGGAAAAAACTTTACTTTTTACTCAAATCTAAGTTAATAATTGTTAAATGAATCTTAGATAGAAGTTTTTTTATAAGAAATATTTGGAAAAGCATAAAATTCGAAGCTTTTCTCTGATTGTGAAAGTGAAATATTTCTATTTAATTATATAAGTAAAAAAAATCTACAAAAGTTTCTACTTGATTAATTATTAAATAAAAATATAATTATCTTCTACAAAAGTTTTCTATTAGAAATATTTAGAAAAAACATTACTTTTTACTCAAATCTAAGTTAATAATTATTAAATGAATCTTAGATAGAAGTTTTTTTTATAAGAAATAATTTAAAGCTTTTTTCTTATTGTGAAAGTGAAATGTTTCTATTTAATTATATAAGTAAACAAAAAATCTATTTGAAATGTGGAAGTTATTATTAGCTCATTGCTGTTTCTGTTTTTCAGTTGATTCATTGATCGCTTTACAAACATTTGTACTAATTGTGTAATGAATGAAAACAGTGACGCATACGCGGATTATGACGTGTTTTATTACAATGATTTTGCAATTACATGAGATACGTAGGGATTTACAAATCAAAGCCTTATAATCAACAAAAGTAGACAATGCTCGATAATCTAATCGATGCCTCAAATCAAGCCTCATTCATTGAATTCCAAAAAAAAAAAATTATAGATAGATAACAATGGAAGCTATATATTAATAACAATGTATTTGCAAATTATCAGTTCAGTTATTTCCAGCAACATGAATTGGCTATTAATAGTTTTAGGTTTAATTCTTGTTAATTCCTGCGTAGGAGAAGAACCGAAATGCGATGGTAATTATATATTTGATTAGTTTAGTCCTAATGTTCACAATCATTCACTTCTATAGTTTTAATCTTATTGAATTTAAGAAATGATTGATAGTTATTAACTGTTTGTAATTAGGTCCAGTAATTGCGTGTTATTATGCGAGCTGGTCGTATTACCGTACTGAAGTCGGTCATTACAACATCAGCCACATCGATCCGAACCTCTGCACCCATCTGATCTACACGTTCTCCGGTCTGAACGTCGATGGAAAAATCGACTCTCTAGATCCGAACTACGACGTAACCAAAGGTAATAGTAATTGCATTTTTGTTTTGCCTTCACGATCAATTTGCGACGTAATTCTCGTAGGCGGTTACCAGTACTTCAACAGTTTGAAACAAATCAATCCTTGCTTGAAGACGCTGCTAGCAATCGGAGGATGGAACGACGGCTCCAGGAAATATTCGGTCGTAAGATGCAATCTAAACTTTAACGATTCCCTTAATTTCTTTCGTTCTCACGCAGATGGCGTCTTCAGAAGACAGCAGAAAAGTGTTTATCGAGAGCGCTCTCAGATACATCGTCACGTATAATTTCGACGGTTTGGATATCGATTGGGAATACCCGGCGAATCGTGGCGGAATCGCCGAAGACAAGGAGAACTTTTCGTTGCTGGTGAAAGAGATGAAGGAGAGATTCAGCAAATGGAATTTACTTCTGACGATCGCCGCTCCGATCAGTCAGTACATTTTGGAGAAGGCCTACGATATCGCAGCAATTAACAAGTAAATTGTTTATCTAATCATTAGTCTTCTGGGAAGTTCATTTCGTTTTTTTTTTGTAGATACATCGATTACGTTTTTCTCATGGCTTACGATTACACTCCAACTGATTCCAATGTGACTGGATTAATTGCACCTTTAGACGAGATTGTAAGCTCTATCATGATCGAGATCTTAGACTAATTTTTTTTTTGATTCTTAGAAAAAAACTGTTGAATTCTGGTTGAGCAAGCAATTCGACAAGAAGAAATTGGTACTGGGAATGCCCAGTTACGCGAGGACTTTTGTGCTGGACAACGAAGATGATCATGATTTAGGCGCTTTGACAGAAGGACCTGGACTTGCTGGTCCTTATACCAAAGAAGCAGGATTCTTAAGCTATTATGAAGTAATTGAAACAATAATTGTTATTAAATAAAATCAATTAATTGTTTTTTTTAGCTACAAATTAATTTGGCTTCGCAACTTTACGAAGAAAATGTAACGGATAACGGAGCTTACGGTTACTATTCGACCGAATGGATGAGTTACGATACTTTGGATCATTACATAGCTAAAGTATGTTTTTTTTTTTAATAATAGTTTTTTTGTTACTTAATTTATGAATTTGTAGACTAAATACGCGTTGGACATGAATCTTGGAGGTGTCATGCTTTGGTCCATCGATACTGATGATTTCACCGGGTTTTTTGGACCTAAAAACATAATCCTCACCACATTATACAACACCACACAGGATTACGTAAATCGTCACATAAACTAAGTAATTTAATATAATTTTTACTGTTTTATATTTATAACAAATACAAATACTGAAACAGTTTCACAACTAGAAATTTTTTGAATTGATAATTATTTTATTGCTTATTCCTTTTGTACAAATGAATTGCTTTAATCTTCAATATTTTTGTAATTATCTGCAATGTAGCAATGCAAGTTTGTTTATCTAATTACATTTTCTTGTGAATTAATAGCAATCCCGAAATCATAGTTTTAGTATTCTTAGAATAATTTTTCATAGTTTGAAATGAAGATTTAGTTAACTACTATATAAAAAATGATAGATTTGGAAGAATGGATTGAATTCAAAGATTAGGCTCAAATCCTAATCCCAATCCATTTTTTTTTCATGTAAAAAGTTGTGAAAATATCCGACTTTTGTGCTGGACAACGAAGATGATCAGGATTTAGGAGCTTTGACAGAAGGACCTGGACTTGCTGGTCCTTATACCAAAGAAGCAGGATTCTTAAGCTATTATGAAGTAATTTAAACAATAATTGTTATTAAATGAAATCAATTAATTGCTTTTTTAGCTACAAATTAACTTGGCTTCGCAACTTTACGAAGAAACTGTAACGGATAACGGAGCTTACGGTTATTATTCGACTGAATGGATGAGTTACGATACTTTGGATCATTACATAACTAAAGTATGTTTTTTTTTTAATAATAGTTTTTTTTGTAACTTAATTTATGAAT